GTGAGCCACTACTTTGAAGATAACAATACTGAATGTCTCCTACTATCTTGTTTTGAAATTTTATATCATTGTTTTTCTCTTTAAATTTTTTTTACTTTGCTTTTTTTTTTTTTTTTTTTTTGGTTTTATTTTTGGTGCTGAAGACCAGATCCATGGCCTTGTGTACTACCACTGATCTAAATCGCCAATCCCCAAAAACTGAATTTCTCTTTTTGGCTAACTTTATTCCTACTATTGTTTTCTATATCATAACTAAGCTTGAAAGTAAACACTTGAAATCAAATATTCTTGAGGACATTTGGACAGTCACAAACACAAAATTCTATATAATTTTAACAAAATTCAGAAAATTCAGTTTGGCAGTGGAAAAAATTCAGCTTAAAATGAATACATTATTGGTTCAAGTTCTGGCTGTCCCAGGGACGTAAGGCAAGTCATGTTACCTCATCTTACCTCTCTAAAGCAGAGGCAACTTCAGGTTAAAGAGAACAAAAAACAAATGAAGCGGGGGATATAGCTCAGCAGCACAGCACCTACCTGGCAAACATGAGATCGTGAGTTCAATTCCCAGTACCAAAAAAAAAAAAAAAAAGCAGAAATGGAAGGCATAGAATTTTATGAAATTCTATTATGGTACTTTCTTGCTCAGCACACAAGCAGGCCTTTCAATGCTTTGGAAATGTATTTTATTTTCATTTCAAATTTTACTGATGAACACACAAAAAGTTATCTTCATTGTATTGTTCTACCTGGACACCTCTGGTGATAAATCCCATTCTTTAATTCACTTACTTACCTACCTGTTTACTAGCAGTATGTGCCAGGTTGTAGGCTAGAAATCAGGTTTATAATGAGGAGGAGAAATAAAAAGTACCTGTTACTGAACTCAAAATCTAGTAGAAGGCTCTATCTTAGTAAAATAATCACACTGGGGATAAATAATTACAAACTGAAATTTGTTCTCCAGTGGTAAAGAATGTGGTTCTGTGAGGAGCGTGGTGGTAGGAATAGGGTTCTTGGTAACATTGCACTCAACCTGAGACCTGAGAGTGCATAGAAGGTGCTTCCTGGTCTGTGGGAACGTGCAGCGGAGTGGGAGGGACTGAGAATTCAAGTAATGGAGATAGGGCTCGTGTGGCTGGAGGCCGGAGAAAAAGGCATTGCTGAAGAATAAGCGGGGGTGACACTACGCTTGGTTTCCTAGGTCACTTTGAGGATGCTGAAGAGTTGTAAGTGTGGTCAGTGGCACCAGGCTTGTGTTTTCAAAGAGGCATTTTAGCGGTAGATGAGATTAAAGGGAGACCAAAATAGATAAAAGGAGATATCCTAGCAAGTTATAACAAGAATAAGGTGAGAAATAATAGTATCAAGGGCCAGGATACTGTCTTTTGAGTTGAGGTAAATGGACACTTTTTAAAAACACTTACATAAAATTGGTGGAACTTGGTGACCAAAGAGGAATAGTAGATGAAAGAGAGGATGATATGAAAGAGGCTGCTAGGGTTTCAGGTTTTGTAATCAGCAGAATGTCAAGTAAAGCTGTTATCTGAAGTCGTAGCTAACCTTTTTTTAAAGTATTCTTCTTCGGGCAGGTTGACCTTTTTGGGGGAAAGTGGAGTCGTGGCAGAACAAAACAAAATAAAAACCAAAGTGTTAACTCAAAGCAATTAGTAGAAATTATCAGTTTCTCCTAGTATGTGTGACTATTAGGTAGGCCAGGTGTAACAGTGTGGATTAACCAGTATTTATTCTTTAACTGATTATGATTGCCTTGGAGAAAAACATCTGGTCTGAAGGGCATTTAATTCAGCAGCCTTATACAGTAATTTTTCAGGAGGATTCCTTTTTGAGGACTCGTCCTCTGCTATCTCATCATGTGCTGCCCCTTTCCTCTCATGCCCTCCCTAGCCTTCCCCCAGTTGGAATGAGCTGGACCGTGTGTCAGTCTCCCCAAAGCATCCTTCCTTTATTGGCGTATGGCTTTTCTCATGTCATTAACGTGAGGTCGGAGTTCCTGGCACCACGACTGTCCATGTGCCCATCTCTCACGAGGTCCAAGTTGACTCCAGCTCAGCTCAGAGTCATCTCATGTTTGTGGTTGCACAATATAAACATCTCACGTTTTTCTCCAAATGATGACCCTTAATTCATTTATTTCAAAATACTCAGCCATTTCAAACACAATGAAATAGGCCTTGAATACCTCAAATTCAGCCAGTTCCTTTCCAATGAGTAGATCTGGAATAGAGAACACTAGAAGAAATATTTTAAACTTGATTTCGCTCTAGCTCAGTTCATTTTTAGGTCCTTTTTCGTATCCAAGTAGAACTGTCAGTAAGCAAATGGTGTGAGGCCTGTATCTACGGAACTGTTTAACTGAGGGCACATTGAGAGATTTTGTAGCTGCGCTCTGGAAAGTGCCCAGTCCACCAAATAGACTAAGAAAGGAAGAGTGTCTGAGCGGCTAGGAACTCAGCAGTAGGTGGCAGGTGAGGAAAGATGACCCTGCAGAGAATCCGAAAGTGAGAGCACAAAAGAGGCTCAGACCCAGCACAATATGGACTGATGGAATACAAGCTCAAAGACTGTTTCCTGGAGGGCAGAGGAGCGCATGCCCAATGGCTGCTGAAATTCAGTTTGGTCCGCGTAGAACAATGCCTGTTGCACTCAGTAAGATGGAGGTGTTCTGGGGACTGTGGCAAGAGCTGTTCTATAGAATAATGGGGTAAAAGCCCATTTAGAGTGGGTTTGAGGTGAATGGGGAGTTGGGACATGGAAGCACCAAGTTTACAGAATTATCTGTGAAGAAACTGGATGAAGGGAGTTAATAGGAATATGAAAGATTTGGGCTGGGTCAAGGGAAGATGTTTTCATTAGTTGTTTTGTTCAAGAGGACAGATGTTTGACCGTGTGAAGACTGAAGTCTGCTTAGAAACAGTTATTTTAGATTTTACTGCTTTTATGTATGGACTCTCTATAGAGATGTTTATGTAATCTGTCAAATGGAAAATTAGACTGTTGTGAGGAAAATATTCTAATCAGTTTTCTTAATTTTGACATTCATTTGCAAGGGTAGGGTTTGCTTGAAATTCACAAATCAAAATATTTTTATATCCTTGGCATTTGATAATGAAATATACAAGACAAAGGTCACATTTTTACTTATCTTCTTCCCTGAATCATCTAAATATATGAAATTAAATTTCTAGACTTTGGCAATAAGGTACCCATTTTATAAAATTACCCTTTTTATAAAGTAGTAGAGGACTGGGGATTTAGCTCAGTGGCACAGTGCCTGCCTGGCAAGAGTAAGGTCGTGAGTTCGATTCCTGTACCGGAAAGAAAATATATATATATATAAAGTAGTGGAGAATAGAAAAAAGGCAGGGTCTCTTTTTTTTTAAGTATTTGATTCTAAATTTCCTTTTTCTTTTTAACCTTAGTCATTTTTATTTATTGTTTTTTTTGTTTGTTTGTTTTTGAGACAGGGTTTCACTGTGCAGTTCAGGTTGACCTTGAATTCACTTTTTTAGCCCAGGCTGGCCTCAAACATGCAGCAGTCCTCCTGCCTCAGCCTCCCGAGTGCTGGGATTACAGGTGTGCACCCACACACAGCCTAACCTTAGTCATTTTAAAAGTTGGCAGTAATAATTATCATTATATTTAAAAGGAAGATGGCCCTGTCCTTACAGAGATTCAAGTCACAGACCCATTTGGCCCATAGTGTTAATGACAGTTTCATGCTTAAAGTCAGTGTAATAAGGAACGAGCTGTGGCAACAATTTCTGAGGCCGTGATAAGAGTAATAGAAGTACCAAGATGATGTACGGGACAGGTCGCATGTTTCGTTTTGTAATCATAATTCAGATAGGTGGAAGTCAGTCTCAGCAGCAAGTCTCATCTTTGTTTTGTACTTTGCTTTCTCTATTATTCTGCACACACGTGCACACATACACTTGGATTTTTCTTCCCTAGCTTCTCTTTTTCATTTATTTTCTGTCTTTTTATCCTTCCATTTATTCTTCATTTTCTTTGTTTGACTTTTCTCTTGCTACATGTCCCTCCTTTTTTTGTATTTCACCTTGCCTTTCTCTCTCTCTTTGTATCTCCTTTTCTTCCTTTCTTTCTTCTTTCCTCCTTTTCTCTGTGCTCCCTCCTTTCCTCCTTTCTTCCTCTTCTATTTTCCACCTACCCCACGGTAATAAAAATAATGGCAAAAGCAAAGGCACAGTCTTGGATCTCAGTGCTCAAATAAAGGAATATAATACCAGTGGCAAAGTGAGTGTCATTGTATTAAGTGAGGATACTCTGGAAATCAGGTACTATACAAAAAATACAACGTGCCATTCTGTGTTAGTTACTTAATTTTGTTTCAATGTTAAATTCTTATGCCTGGTACTTGATTTGTTTGTTTGGTTGGTTTTTGTTTGGTTCTCTTTTTGTTTTGGTACCGGGCATCAAACTCAGGGCCTTGTGCTTGCCAAGCAGGCCCTGTGCTGCCGAGCTTCATCCCTGGCCTGAGCCTGGTACTTTGTAAAGCCTTTTTCCTTCCTTTTCCTGTTCTGTCCTATTGTTTTTTAATGTGATTTTTACATATCTTCTTTTAATTTCTCATGTTTGTTTTTAGTCTGTTGAACCTTTTCCTCTTGGCACATAAAAAGAACCTTGTGTGGTTTTCTGTTTCTGAACCATCATACTTGTTTGAAGTGTATTATATAAAAGACAATGTGCAGTATTAGAATACATTTCTTCTGCAAATTAAAGCACGTTAGAATCGACTGTTATCCTTTTGAAAATTATGCTAATTTAAGATGTTTTAAATAACATGGCTTTTGTTTAATTTTTATTTACTTTTACATTTTAGGGAGATTTCACACAAATGGAATCCTAAACAAATAGGTGAACATCTTCTACTGAAAGCGTAAGTATCAAAAATGCTATTTTATTGGAAATTTTCATTAATTTTATAGCTGTAGAATTTTTTTAAAATTTATTAATAGAAACAGTGAAGAAAATTAGAGTAAGGAAATATTTATGGAAGTAAATCATCAAAGGGCAACTAACAGAGTTTAGGAATAAAATCCTGACGTATATGTGACCCTTAAAATGATTCTTACTAATATGAAAGGCTGGGATCAGCCAACTTTTTTCTTTTATTTGTAGGAAGTTAGAAAATGTCTTTAATTTGTGTAGCCCAAATTTCTGAGAAAATTATTATCACTGGTTGAGCATCCCAAAGTCAAAATGCTTCAAAATCTACAATTTTTTATCATGAATTTTCCACACTTCTCCCACTGCACAGTTCACAGTCAGAGTGCAGCCAATCTGAAAATACGAATTTGCCTTCAGTCTCTGTGCATCAGGTGTATATGACACATAAACAGACTTTGTGTTTAGACATGGGTTTCATCCCAAGAATGTACATGCAAGTATTCCAAAATCAGCAAAAATAAAAAATCTCAAATATATTATACGTCTTTTTTTCTTTTTCCTGAACTATTTCTGATCCTGAGCATTTCTAATAAGGGATACTCAACCTGTATTCTACTACTAAACAGACATGTAAATGTGTTTGTATAGCAGTGAGCAAAGTTAAAACTTTAGTGACGTTGAAATACAGTCCTAAAGGTACTTGGTGCTTGTACAGCAGTCATCATTTTGTAGATTAGAATTTTACTCTTCATTTTTTAATTTTTTTTGAAGATTGTGAATTGGAAATCCCCCAGCTTGCCGGCTCCCTCTATGGGACATTCTAGCACATTATTTCTTAGTGATGTTCCATTCACCTTGAAAGCTACTACTTACCAGGACCTGGCCCATAAGGGTTAGGTAAGTCCCACTTTGATCTGATTTTAAATAACTATATTTTGCAGGCTTGCAAAGTTGTAATTTACTATGTCTAAATATTTGATGATAGGAAACAACTTTGCAAAGCTGTACAATATTGTTTTTTAACAGCAAAAGGGGACTTCATCCACTGTTGCAGGCTGACCTGGCTCGACTGGATGGGAAATCTGAGGATAGATGATAGGATAATAGCAGAAAAGTAACTTCTTCAACTGTCACTGAAAAGGCAAGCTGTGGAATGGATCCCTCCCCGTAAATTTTAGGTGTCAGATTTGTAGGCTGTGTGAGATATATACAGGTTGATGTCCAAACAGCGAACTGTAAAGGAGCTTATATTTTATTGTGTTAAGGTAAAATCTGATTTTTTTTTGTGAAAGCTACCTCTGTTTTATTAACACTTGATTTGTTTTCATCTTTGTTTCTACAATTACGTGTTAGGGCAAAGTATTGATAGTTGAAGATCTTGGAAGGTCAGTAGTTAGTAGGGTTAGTAGCTGGAATATAAATGATGCTGACATATTAAAGTAGGTATTTAAAAATTTCATATGACCAATTTGTTCAGTATGCTGATAAATCTGTTTTAATTTCTACAGCCTAACTTATATTGTGGCAATGCCTTTTTATTCAGCAAGTCTAATTGAAACAGTACAGGTAAGCTATTTCCATGTTGTCATTTCTTTTAGTTAAATATTTTTGGAATACTCAATATATTGTATATATATGACTATTTCTCAGAACAGTTTAAGACAGTATTCCTTAAAAATATATATTTCAGAAGTATCATACATATATCACACATTGTTGATATGTATATTTCCATTCCAAATTTAGGACACTCGTTTTTCTCCCTTCCCTTTAAGCAGCTATATTCTCCATTCAGATATCTCACAACCCATCTTGTGACTTGCTGTGAATGCAAAGAATCTATAAACTTTTTAAAGCCCTATGTGCAACTCAGATGGTTACAGCTTATAGTGCAGTGTATTAGTTATCTGAGCATAAGCTAGTCATCTTGACAGTTTGCATCTGGTTCCTATAGGTAGTTTACTGACAGAATTTTTTTACACTATGATTTAAAAGAAACGTTTGCTACCATTGCTGTGATAACTACTAGAAAGCTTAAGGAATGTCCTGCTAACATTTAATTCTGTCTGCTTGTTTAACTATTTTTAACCACATGGTGGCGCATGAAGTACATGGAATTAAATGTCCTACACTGTTTCACTTTTTCATGCCTATGTTTAAAACTGTAAGATGAAGGCAATTTTAATTTCACTTAATACACAAAGTCTACCTGTATATACACCTGTTTTTTTATTTCCAACATCAGATCCTCGAGCATTTTTTCTTTAGTATATGTAAGTACCTTCTCTTAATCCTTTTCTTTTCTGATCCCACTGTTAATCTTTTTTTTTTTTTCTGTAGAACTGATTTCAGTTAACTGCAAATAGCATCTTATGACCCAAACATTCCTTTCTTTCCCCTTGCACAAGATATCCTCATTTTAAAATAATGAAAAATAGCAAAAACCTATTTAAGAAAACTAAGCAGTGTGACATATTAGGGAAAAAAGTTTTGGCTTAGAACAGACTCAGATTCTCATTTCTTTATTTAAATTGTATCTATTGCTTTAGATAAATTTTCAACCTTTTAAAATTCTAATTTCTCATTCATAAAATGGTATTATTTTAATAACTGAGTTTTGAAAATTAAATGTGGAGTTGTGTAAGTGTCCAGCTCAGTATATGGCAGATTTTCAGTGTTTTTAACCTAATACTCACTGTTTTCCCTGCTCCACATCCTACTCGTTAATGCTTTTCTTCCCACTCCTTCTGTCTGCTATTCTAAAATTCTTTTATTCTCTCCCTAGATTTCTGCTCTCTCCAAATCACCTTTCAGTAGGCTTTTTCTCTACCATCTCTTTTAGTGTGTCTTAAGGCTTGGTCTTTGACCACCTGTTTTTCTCATCCTATAATGATTATTCTGAGAGAGCTCATTACTCATGTGAATCATTTCAACACTAATCTTCATTCATCTCAAAATCAGTTAGTCTCATTCACCTGAATATTAGTTTCCATTTAAATCTTTTTTCCCTTTCTGTTAATGGCACTTTGTTATCTTCAGCCTGATTCAAAATTTTAGTTTTAGGGAGCTTGCTATTTTATGTTCTTTTCATCCTTCATAAGTAATCATCCATCATGACTTGTTAGTTCTAACAACAATGTCCAAAATTTGTACCCCTCCCATAAGCCATCATTGTACTGAATATCTAGCTTCTTGCAATATCTTTCTTCTGACTTCAAGCTCAGTGATTTGTTTTTTGCCCATCTGGGGGCGCTCAGATCTCTTTGAACATTCTCTTCTTTCACTGTACTATTTCATCTTTAACTGCTAAACTCTTTCTCTCCATCAAACATTCGCAAGTACCGGTTTGTATCACGTACTTACAGGCCCTGAGGATACAGCAACAAATACAACAGACATAAATGTTCTGTCCCACAGATCTCATACACTTGTGGGAGAGACAGCATAAACAAGATTCCTATAAGGAGTATTTGATGGTGATGAGTGCTAAAGAAAGCAAAAACAAAGCAAGGGAAACAAATACAGTAGGGAGAATGGTTAATATTTTTTTAAGATGATTCTAAGAAAGGCCTCACTAGGAAGAAAGATAACATTTGAGTAAAGATAGATAACTCAAGATCCTAAGCAGAAGGGAGGCAATACAAGGTCCTTCTAGTGGGATGGTATTATATGTATTTTAAAGAGTAGAAAGGACTCAGATATGATTGGTGCTAATTAGGCAAGGTAGGGGAGAATGGAAGTTGTGCTTGGATAGTAAGAGAAGCCAAATTGTATAAGACATTTTAGTTTATTGTAATAATTTGGCTTTTTAGAGAGATGGTAGGTTTGATCAGAAAGCTAATATGATCTGACTTATGTGTTTATTAGGATCGCTTTGGTTACTGTCTTAAACATACATTGAAGTAGGAAGGAAAGCAAGGTCAGAGATAGGGAAGTGAATTAGTATATTAGATGTTTTCCATTACTGTGACAGGAGGCAACTTCATGGAGGAGAGGTTTGTTTTGGCTCACGGTTTCAGAGGGTTCAGTCCATTGTTAGCTGGCTCCAAGGCAGAAATGGTACGGTGGAACAGCGGAGGAAAACCGCTTAACCCATGGCAGCCAGGAAACAGATACAAGGTAGGAACCACAGAAAAACTATATCTTCCAGGTCGTGCCCTCTGTGACCAGGCCCCACCTCCTTGCAGTTAATTAATCCACTGATGTTCTAATCACCAGCATCCCCATGATCTAAGCACCTTTCAAAAGCCTCGCCTCTAAACACATGAAATTTTTAGAGGTCGTTTTAGATCTAAACCCTAGCAATTAGTAAACTTGCTGAATTCATTTTAGTCTCCTGGTTTAAAATATCTGTTTATTGAGGACTTCCATGTTCATAATATGGTCTGCTTGAGCCTTTTTCTTATAATCCATATTGATACTTAACATTTCTGCCTTTTGCGGGGGTGGTACTGGGAATCAGCATTTCTGCATTCTTGGTCTACTTTCCCAAATCGCTTCATCAGCAGTGCGATTTCTTCAGGACCTGTGGCCAACAGACTTGGACATTTTTGGCTTCTCTCTTTCATATATCAAGTGCGGTGCACCAGTAATTCCTGTTGCTTGTCGTGTTAAAAACAGAACTGAATTACAGTGGTACCTCAGTTTACAAACTTAATTCTTCCCACAATTCAGAGACCAAATTGGTTGACACGCAAATCAAATTTCCTCATAAGGTCATCATTGAATCTAACCATTGAATTTGATTTGGTTCTCATCCAATTAGGTTTATGACCAGAATTGTGGAAAGAATTAAGTTCGTGAACCAAGTTGTCACTGTACTTTTATGCTACAAATTTACTTGACTGATTGGTTGGTTTTGGTACTGAGGACTGAACTAGCGAACCTTGCCCATCATTGCCACGTTCCATCACTGAGCTGTACCCCCAGGTTGTTGTTTTTTGTTTTGTTTTGTTTTTAATTTTCAGACTAGGTCTCACTGAGTTGCCCAGGCTGGGCTCAAACTTGTATTCTGCCTGTGTAAACCTCCCAAGTAACTTGGATGACAGTTGTGTACCAGTGGATTTAGGTACACCACAAACTTTATTTCTGTTCCCAAAATTATCAAAGGGCAGATTTTTGAGATGATAATGAGAGCAACATTTATTGAGTACAACTGGGTGCCAGGCCTGTTTTTCATTTAATACAGCTCTATGCAAAAGTATGTAGGTGGGACTAATTATCATTTTTATACAGTGGTGCCCTTGCAGTGGGAAGTTAAACAACTTGGCAGTGATTATTCATCCAGTAAATAATGGAGCAGGATTTAAACCCACGTTTAAAGACTTTACAGCCTTGTATTGCTCTTGAGGCAAGTAGTTGTTGCTTCTGAGTGCTGAGGTGCTTCTCGAGATTAGGAAGCAGAGGTGTGCAGCTCCATATCTCCTCCCTGACCAACCTGCCCCCGCTAGACTTCCTCCAAGCTTCACTACCACCTGACTTCATTTAAAAAAAAAAAAAACAATTGAACACCTAGGTAATAGTTGAAGTCTGCAAATCATTGATGTTTTTCTTCTTTAACCAGTAAATTAAAAGACAGAGTCCTTTTTTTGTGCCAGAATAAGCAGCCGTTAAATTTTATTTTATCATTTCTATTTCAGAGTGAGATAATTCGAGACAATACTGGCATTTTGGAATGTGTCAGAGAAGGAATCGGAAGAGTGATAGGCCTGGGAGTGCCTCACAGCAAGCGGCTCCTTCCGCTTCTTTCCTTAATCTTCCCCACGGTGCTGCATGGAGTCCTTCACTACATCATCAGCTCAATCATTCAGAAGTTTGTCCTACTAATTCTAAAGAGAAAGACGTATAATAGCCACCCAGCTGAGAGCAGTAGCCCTGTGCAGAGTATGTTGGATGCTTATTTTCCAGAACTTATTGCTAACTTTGCTGCCAGTCTTTGCTCTGATGTTATACTCTTCCCACTGGAAACAGTTTTGCACCGCCTTCACATTCAAGGAACACGCACAATCATTGACAATACAGACCTTGGCTATGAAGTGCTTCCAATTAATACACAGTATGAGGGAATGAGAGACTGTATCAACACCATAAAGCAGGAGGAGGGAGTCCTTGGCTTTTATAAAGGGTTCGGTGCTGTTATAATACAGTACACACTGCATGCAGCTGTCTTACAGATTACCAAAATTATTTACTCTACACTTCTTCAAAATAGCATTTGAAATTTAGGTTCTATCACTGGTGAGTCCAGAAGATGTAATCTGGATAATTTGCTATGAAGTTATAAAGGATGAAAAGGAAATACTGGGGAAAAATGGACTAGAAAGTGAAACTGGTAGAAAAGGTCTGTGCTGATTGAATTGACTCTTCTTTTAAAACAATTTTTTTTTCAAGTTTAAAAGCTCAGTAGAACCAACACTTGTGTAAGAATAAAATTTTAGCTAGTGTAGCACTCGTTCTGAAGTAAAAATGATACTAGGTGGAAGCAAAGGTGTGTCATCAAATACAAAATGAAGTTTCACTGAGTTGAATCTGTTCCATCTTATCTTAATATTTGTTAGTTATTTCATCCTCCAGATTGATCTTTGCATATTATCCTTAATGCAGTAGAATATCACTGTATCAGTGAGATTTTACCTTTAAACAAATAAATTATATCACCATTGAAAAAGACTAAGTATTAGATTTGGCCATCTGTAAGCAGACATCGAGGGGTTTTATAATGCATTGTCTCTATTTTAGTGGTTGTATATGTGTATGATATAAAGCCATTTATGTACACACATATAACTTGGAAATTCTTTTGTCCTACAGATTCTCTACTGATAGATAAGCATGTTGCATAAAATGAAATCATGCACTTTCTGCTTGAACACCAGAGTAAAACATCAAAAAGCCAAGGCACCCAAAAGATTCAATCAGTTATCACACACTTGTCCACATCCAAACCCAGTACTAAAGTGCTAGCCACTTAAAATTTATTATGTATCTATAAAGTTCAATTTGCTTCATTAGTTATGTGAGTTGTTAGTCTATTTTTAGAACCACACTTAGGAAAGAATGTAAAATAATCATGCAGTTATTGCTGTTTCCACACTTATAAATTGTGTACTTAAAGAAGCCTCATTTGCCTTTCACTTCTGAGTGATTTACCTTAGAAGAGACAAAATTCAGCTGGGGATTTGTATCTTTTGCCTGGCATACAGTCATCGTTAAGTAACATCTTCATTTTCCCCTCTGTTTTTGCTTAAAGTGTCATTCTCCAAACTAGAAATACTTGAAGAGAAAAGCAAATTCTTATCATTTTTTATTTAAATACATTGTGGTGAATACTGAAGAAAAAATAGTTCATGTATTTTGTGTAGGTAAGGTAGAGCGTGGGGGAATATTTTAACAAATAAGCAAAAAAGAATGGTTAATCAGTTTAATAAAAAAAGAAAATTGTCCCTAAACTTAATTCGTGAGTCATGCTCTGTATAGTAAAGTGATACGCATTTGACTTACCCATCATTAAACATGTTCAAGTTTCATTCTTCATGAGGATGTTCGCAGTTTTATCATGAACCATTTAGCACTCAGAAGTGCAGCAACTTTGCATGGATGTTTTCCAGCACAGAACGCAGACAAACTGAGCTTTATGTCACTTGTTGAATGTCACTGAGATGGGTATTTTTGTGATCAATAGTGTTGGAACAAAGAAATGATATGAAAAATATTGTGGAAACATCATAAAAATAGCAACTGTGTTTACTATGGTGTGTGTGTTTACTGTAATACACTGTTTTCCATTTTTAAATTTAAATTCTGCTAAGAGGGAAAATAAACACATTGAGATTGATCACATTACATGTTCAGGGTAATACTTCAGTTTATGGTTTATTTTGTCCTACCTATGAGGTTTTTTCATGTTTTTGAACTGCCAGATAATTCTTACATGGTTATAATATATTCATCATTCTACCCTCTCCCATTTTTTTAATAATCAGGTTTCCAAAAGAAATAAACAAGAAAATTATAAGTTTCAGAAAATTTCTAGAACAGAATCTGAATGGAATCAAGTATTTGCAAATGAAAAATATATGAACTCTTTCATTGATCTAAATATTAGATTTTTCAAGGTTTGTTGAAAGCATGAATGTAAAGTTACATAAATTTGTTTAGTCATAGGATCATATGAGAGACTGAAGCACACGCAAGTAAGGTTGGTCTTGTTTTCTGTCTCTTTAGAGGGAATACAAATTAACATGAAAGCTAAAATTGAAGCGTGTAGTAAAATATTAATATTTGTACTGCTTTTCCAAACCGATTGAAATATAATCTTTGAAAATAAAGCACTTAAATTTAGCACTTAAATATTTTTCAGTGAATTTAAAAAGAATAGAATAACTATCAGATACTCTTTTGCTCTTTAAAATTGCTATATCTCTTTAATTTCAGTGCCAAAATCTAATACCCAAAGGATACATTTCTTAAGGTGTTAACTTCAGTATCATTAACAACATTGCTATGATTCTATTCAGTGGTTCTATAGACCCAGTGGTCCTCTTATTGTAAATTTTGCCCATGGTGCTTATGATGTGCTTGTCTTATAGGGTTTCTAACTTGCAGTAAAATTCCCTGAAAGTGATTGAATTAAAATGGATAAAGATTAACCTGCTTGAATTTATGAATCAAGTTATTAAATTGCGTACATACTTCCAAGGGTACCCTCCTCTATTTTATGAACACTTAAACCTAGGTTAATACAGTTATTTATTTAACCTTCCAAACACCCAGCACTAGGTAATACATTTAAAATGCGCTAATTTAGAATGGGTTGTGGATTGGAGTATTTGATAATTTGGATACTGCTTGGACACAAAACTGGAAAGGTAGGAGATCCTGCTCACATATGCAGCTATGCCTCATTACACCTCTCTCCAGCACTGGCTTTGTTATAACTGCACAAAGCATTCACTTTATTCGTTGGGCACAAGTGTTTCAATATTCCTATCCATGTATTCATATATCTATTTTGATCTTTTGTGAACTGAGATTATGGAGCTATTTGTTCTCAGTTTGCTTATAGATCTTATAGCACAGAAAAGATTATTCTGCCAGCTCTTGAGAAGATTCAGGTTTTGAATTATTTTGAAAAAGTATATAAGCAAAAAAAAAATCCTTCAGTAACTTCATACTGCACTAAGATTTGTGTAATATTTAATGTTCCCTCCCTCTGTCTTCTTCCTCTCTGTTCCTCCCTCTCTCTGAATGTGCAATGTCTTATTTTTTGAGTCATTGAGTATCATTACTTATGGTACCAAATTGTATAGCAGAGTAACAAAAAGTTAGGGTTTGACAATGAATCTTGTTTGATTTTATCTGAGCTAGAGGAGATGTTTTATTTGACGTATTTTTTTAAGTTGTTTTTGTCTCATTGGGATTTTAAATGTTTGGGGCAGTAATTTGTGTAATGTGAAAAGTTCAATAAAATGTTGAATAACATGAGTTTTTTTCTTACTGATGTTAAAGGACTGTTGATAAATGATAAGGTGTATTTTTGAGATAGAAATGAAAACTGAGAAAAATATGTATGTAAAATTAAGCTTTTTTGCTGGGTCCTGGTGCACACCTATAATCCCAGCCCTTGGGAGGCTGAGGCAGGAGGATCATCATTGTGAGTTCAAGACCAGCCTGAACTGCATAGTGAGACCCAGTCTTTTTTTTAAAAAAACAGAATTGTTTATTTATTTATTCAAGAACCAGGAATCAAACTCAGAACCTTTTGCTTGCCAGGCAGTCACTTGTGCCGCTGAGCTATATCCCCAGCCCGAGACCCAGTCTTAAAATGACCAAAAAGAAAACTTCTTTGCCCACTATTTTAAAAAATCTTTAATATCATAAAAACATTGTAAGTGGTGTGACTCATGAGACAAGTTGATGTGGCTAACAAAACAGTTCCTAAAGTAAGGTTTGTATGCATCGTGTTTTGTAAAATTCACAACCATCTCAATATCTCATTGTCACAACAGTTCTGTGACTGTTTTGGAGTCACATTGATTAAATGCTATTTTGCTAAGGAGAAAATAGCTACAGTTTATGACTTGTACTGCATTAAGCCAGTGAGGAAGTAATAGCAAAATAGTGAATGGGCAGCTCCAAATTTCTGTCCCTTTATAGAAATACAATACAAAAACAAAAACCCAGAAGCTGCCCAAACCAACATTGTCAGAACTCGAAAATAGTCAAAGGTTTATGGCACTCAAATGACCACTGAAGAAAAAAAAAAAAATTAGACATTCCCAGACAAATAAAAGCTAAAGGACTTTGTTACTAGTAGAAATTCCTTCAATATTAAAGGAGTACTTCACTGCTAAGAAAGGACAATAGACAGTAATACCTGTAAAAATTATGTACATATAAAAGTGAATATTACTATACTTTTGTTGATTCCTCTTCCCTATATACTTTAAAAAGCAAGTTTAAGAGTGGGCTGTATATTATGTACTTACATTGGTATTGTTCAGTCATGGTTGTGTGCTGAAGACTGTTAGTTGGAACCCATGATGTCAACACTAAAAATAAATTTTAAAATGTACAGGACAAAGAAACAAAAGAGTACACTATTTTTTAAAAAAAACATCTGCTACCAAAAAAAAAAAAAAAAAAAAAACATGACAGTAGTTCAAGGACTGAGTAAAAAAGATATAGAAAACAAAGTTAAATAGCATAAGCCTATTGTAATTTAAATATAAATGAATTAAAATCTCCAATTAAAAGGCAGAGATTGATAGAATGAAAACAGTATAGCTGTATGATACTTACAAAACTCAACTGTAGAAAGACACCACATTAAAAGACAAGGATGGAAAAAACTGCTCCATGTAAATAAAGATATTTGGAGTGTGGCTACATGGCCAGAAGAAAAGTCAAAGAGGTTACAAGAGACAACATATTTTATAGTGATAAAAGATTCAGTTTACCAAGAAAGCATCATAATGCTAAGCCTATATGCACCTAACAGCAAAGCCCTAAAATAATTAAGCAAAAATTGATAGAATTTAAGGAAGTAACAGACAATTTGTTCTAATTACTGCAGATCTCAATCCCCAATAATACAACAGCCAGACAGGACATCAATAGGATGGAGAGTTTGAACACAGTAAATCAAGCAAACCTAACAGAAATATGCAGAACACTTCACTCAACAACAGTAGGATACATACTTTACGTACAGATGGAACACTGCAAAATAGAGTACAAATTAGGGTGAAAATCAAATATTAAACAGCACTTGAAAATTAGAGTAATACAAAGTATCTTTTATGGCCACTATAGAATAAAAATGATAGAAAACTAAAAAAAAAAACTCAGAAGTATGGAAATTACATACAAACACTTGACCTAGAGGTAAAATAATTTACAAAAAATATTAGAAAAGACTTAAAGATGAATGAAAATGAAAACAGCCTATCAAAACTTAGTGTTACAGAGTAAAACTAGTGCTCTGAAGGAAACTTATACCTTCAATGCCAATTTAATAAAAGGAAACATCTTAATAACTAAACACCTTAGGAAATCAGGAAAAGAAGAGCAATATAAAAGCTAGCAGAAGGAAAAAAATAAAGATTATAGCATTTGTGACTGAAATAGAATAACAAAAGAGAACATAAAACCAGAAGTTTAAGGAAAGATGAGCACAACTGATAACTCCTTAGCTAAACTAACTAAAAGAGCAAAGACTCAAATGATAAATCAGAAATTTACAAAGGGAATCATGCAGTAGCTTTACAGAAATAAAAAGGATTTTACGGGGATGGCATAAATATCTGTATGACAAATATGGAAAAACATAGAGAAAGTGGACAAATACATAGAAATACAGCCTACCTACCACAAGTGACATTAAAAAAAATAGAAAATCAGAATAGACCTATAATGAGTAAGAACATTGAATTAATAATAGTGTCAACACCAACCCAAATGTCCAGGACTAGATGGCTTCAATGATGAAATTAACCAAATATTTAAAAAGCAATTTGCACCAACCCTTCTCAAATTCTTCAAAAAATTGAAGAAAGACTATTTTCTAACTCATTTGCTGATGCCATAATTAAATTTACACAGAATGCAGATATACCCTAGAAGGGAAAAACTACAGACTGATACACCTTATGTGTATACATGCCAAAACATGAGCAAGCTGCACTCAGCACTTTATTAAAAGATTTTTGCACAACAACCAAATAGGATTTATCCCAGAACTGCAAGGGCGAGCATACAAAAATCACTGCAACACACTACCTTAATGGAATGGAAGGAAGAAACATGATTACTTCAAGTAACACAGGAGAAATGTGACAAAATCCAGCATTTTTTTAAATGAGAAAAACATATCATTGGAAGTTCTAGTAATAGACAAGGAAGACATAAAAGGCATCAAAATTGGGAAGGAAAGAGTAAAGCCATCTCCATTTGTACTGATACCATTCTCTTACATCTAGAAGACCCTAAACTCTCCACAAAGTTAAGCAAATAGTTAAAGCAAAACTTATAATCTAATTCAGAATCCTACCATAATATCTTGAGGCTAGGATTACTCTAATAAAATATGCTGTTTAAGAGAAAAATAATATTTAACTTTTTGAGGATTTAGTACAATGTCCAGACAAGCAAGAATTTAAATGGATGTTCTTTTATATGAGTGTATTGCTCAGCTTTTCCATCATGGAGATAAAATAACTAGCAGACATAATTTAAAGGGGAAAGGGTTTATTTTGGCTCCTGGTTTAAGAGGTTTCAGTCCATGACCAACTGATCCAAGGTAGGAAATCATGGTGGAAAAGTGTGGTAAAGGAAACCTGCTCACCTCATGGCATTCAGAACCACAGAGCCTGGGAAGAGCCTAAGAAGGGGCCAAGGATCAGATATAGTTGCCAATCACAGCCTGTGGCCCAGTTCCTTCAACTGGGCCCCACTCCCTAATGTCCCATTTACCTGTGCCCTTATTAATTGGGCTAGCCCGTTGATGAGTGTAGTGTCCTCACCATTCAATCATCAGTGCTGTATTCTCTCAATCAAATCAAGGTAAAGTTCAAAATTAGCCAACAGCAACCTTATGGTGGAGGTGCTAATATTTTCAATTTATAGATGCAGGAACTATATTTCTGGGAAGTTCAGAACTCTGTCCTAGGTTATACAGTTAATAAGTCAGAGTTAGGCTCTTATATTTTTCTTAACTGTTGTACTGCTAGCTTGGTCAGTAGGCCAAAGTTTACCCTGGGTTAAATAGTCACATCCAACAAATGGACTAAGCAACTACTATTCTCAGTGATGATGAACTGCTTTCCATCTTAGTCTGTATGGGGGCCTACAGTGGAAGTCTTACAGAGCTTTTTAGTAGGTTCTTCAGCAGTCTTCTCCATTCCCTTCCCTGCTCCCAGTTAAAAATAATCTTTCTCTTCCTTACCTCTTCTACTCCCCTTGGTCCCTCCACTGCTCCTTGTCCCTTTCTTCTTTTTTGAGATGTATGTACTTTGTAGTTACCTGTGAACACTGATAAGTATCACAGTTTTATACTAGAGATCATTGTCTCCCCACTTCTACTGTACATAGACAAAATACACAGGCATTAAAAGATGGTGAATGATTACATGACTCATGTACACTTATTCCAATCTAATGTAAGTATTTTGAAACTTGTACCTTTTTAGTTTGGGATTTCAAAATAGAAATCTTGATTCTTGGAAATCTTGATTCTTTGGAAGTCATCCTGATGAAACCTCTTCTTTAACAGATTTGGAAACTGAGTGGAAATCCTAGAAATGTTTGATGATTTCAGTAAGGCCACAGAATGACAGAGCTGGAACTTTGCAACTCAGGTCTTACCACTCCTGGACTTGTCCCCACCCCATAGAACTCTGCCTACTATCTCTCATTGGTCAGTCCCTCCCTCCTTTCTACCATATTTCCCCCAAAATGAGACTGGATCTTACATTTATATTTTTCCAAAAAATGCAATGGGGTTTATTTTCAGTGGATGTCTTATTTTTTCCTGTACAACAATCTACATTTATTCATATACATAAATCTAAATTTATTCATGTACAAAAATCTACAGTTATTCAAATAAAGTCATGTCATCATACCACAGTGATATATGTGCACCCATGTTTATAGCAGCACAATTTGTTATAGCTAAATCTTGGAAACAACCCAGATGCCCATCCACTGAGGAATGAATAAAAAAGTTGTGGTATTTTTATACAATGGAGTATTACTCAGCTATTAAGAAAGATAAACTCAAGGCTTTTGTAGGTATATGGATGCAACTAGAGCCCATACTCATAAGTGAAATAAATTGGACTCACATGTGTAAACATTATATTGTCTCCTTGGTGTAGGAGCCTGAAAGACTAGGTAAAACTCAAAACATACAATAGATGATAGAAAAGGGAAAGAAATTGCTCAAAGGAAGGAACAACTGGGATGAGGGAAAGGAGAAAAAA